CTACCCTATGCCAAAACACAATGTGTTCATTACATAGTTTGATAAAATGTTTTGCTATCTGATAGAGTAACTCTCCCTTATTGTTCTATTTCAAGTATATCTTAGTTTTTGTCAAATAATTACTACTTTAGGTGAATTTTGGATTCATCTTGTCAGTTTCTGTACACCATTTCATCTGAGTTTTCATATATATTGTGTTAAATTTTTGATTATGGGAGAAATGAAAAATGTATAACATTGCGTCTTCCTATCCAAGAAAATGACACAACTTTTTATTTATTCATATCTTCTTTTATGTTTTTCAACACTTTTCTTTAAATAGACTTGTTTTCTCCTAAAGTTTATGCCTGGCTGTTTTAGGTACTTTTATTGCTATTGTCCGAACAATCTTATTTTCCATTGTATTTTGAAGTCATTGCCATTGGCATGTGAGAATAGTTTGATTTTTATGTGTTTCTCTTATTTCTGAGTAGCTTGCTAAATCATATAATGGTCTAACTGCTTTTTTTTAATTTTCCTGAATTTTCAGGCAGTTTGACTTTTTAAAAAAATATTTCTACCCCATTTAAAAATTATTGCTTTATTGCATTGACTAGGACCTTTGAAAAATGTCACATAAAATTCATGATAGAAGATACCCTGTATTTTTCTAATGTTTTGTCAGTAAATACAACATTTAGTGTATTTAATAAAGGAAGTTACCTTCTATAAATTAGACTTTTAATCAGAAAAAGATGTTGGAAATTTTTGGCATTTTTAAAAGGGTGGCTTCTCTTCTTTTATCTTTTAATTTAGTAAATTTAACAATAGATTTCCTAAGGTTGAGACATTCTTGCATTTCTGGTATAAACCTTATTGAGCTATAATATGGAATTCTTGTAATATATTGCCGATTTGATATTTTATTCATATTTGGAGAGTATATTCATAACATAGTTTTATACAAGTATAGATAAGATATGTATATTGATATTTATTATGTAAATAAATACATATGTAAGTCTGTATGTTAAATTTGACTGATTTTGTCTTCAGGAATGTTCAAACCACAGAGAATGGTGTGGGAAAATTTCTATGTTTTTTGCTTTAAAAAAGCATAAATAAGACAGAAAACTTTAATAGAACTCACCCAGAAAATCATCTGAACCTTTTATCTTTTTAATGTATAGAATTTTTTTTGCTACAATTATGGTTTTTGTATTCAACTTTTCTACTTATCTTAATTTTTTTAAATTAATATTTTCTAGAAAAACAATTAATGCATGTATACTTTCAAATTTATTGCTGTAATATTCTTAACATTTTACATTTGTCTCCTCTACATCCCTCATTAATCTTGCCAAAAGTTTGTGTAACTTTTGAGAGAACTAACGATTGTATAGACCAAGTCTGATTTTTATTTGCCTTTTGGCTGGTTGTTTTGCTCTGTGTTGTTTACACTGATTAATCAGGGTTTATTTTATTTTATTATTTATTTTTTCTTACTTCCCTTGCATTTGCATTTGTTTGGTGGGTCTTTACTGCCAGTGTGTGTGTGTGTGTGTGTGTGTATGTGTGTGTGTGTGTGTTGAATCCTTATTTAATTTAATTATATTTTCCCTATTTTAAAAATAAATGGTTAAATGCTGTAATTTTTTCCAAAAATTACTTTAGTTATATTTCATAAATTTTAAGGAATAGGACTTTAGTAATTATTATAAAAAATACTTTTACATTTACTTTTAATTTTTTCTTTACCAAATGATTTAATTGCCCAAAGAAATTATTTTTTTCTTGTTAACTTCTATTTTATTATATTTGATACAGAAAATATTTCTTATTTTTTTACCTTATATTTATTTTTTATCTTGTAATTCCAGATTTCCTTTGAGATTTAATATGTTACTGGTTTTTATAAATTTTTTTAAGTAATTGAAAATAATGTGCAATTTTTCAAGGAAGCTGAAAGACACAATCAAAACACTCATATCTGTTTATTAGAACTCATCATTTGTATTTTTAAAGTGTATCTTCATTTATGTTATCATCTTGATCTTTCAATTTGGGAAGCATTTTAGTTTTCTATGATAATGATAGCTTTGTCAGTTTTCTTTTATTTATAACTTGTTTTTAATCTTCTTATATATATACACACGCATGTATATGTATTATCTCTCTATATTTTTATAAATATTTTATATATTGTTGCTATGTTAATTGGAGCATAAAATTCATCATCATAATGGTGAATTTTACCAGCTTTAAATATTATATAAAGTATGATATAAATTTAAAATAAATTATTTAGCCTCATTTTAATTTTTGGCATTCTGAATCCTTTTTTTCACATATATATGAGACAACAGACAATGTATAAATCACAATAAAAGAAATGTAATTGACTATAAATATCTATATATGCATATATACATATATATGCACATATATGCATATATGTAGCCAATTATATTTTTCTTTTATGTATAGTTGTATTTTCAGCATTCCATTTTCAATGTTTTCTGCTATTTCATTTTAGACATGTCTATTTTAAATCATTATCCTTTTCCCCCTTTCTGTAGTCGTTTTGGTGTTAGTTAAAGGTTTTGGCTTTCTTTATTAAAGAAAATGGTTTGAAAGCTATATGTACTATTTCTATTCTAGAAGCTGCTTTTAAATTTTAGTGAGCACATTTAAATTTAAAGTGTTATCCTCAATAATTAATCACTGTAAGCTTCTTTGTTTTCCTTTCTATAGCATACAACCTTTATCAGGCTTTTAATTATTTCTATGTCTACTCTTCTATGCATTTATGGTTGAAATTATTGGAAAGTTTCATTTCAGATAAGTATGTCGTTGTAGCAGTGGTGGTACGCATAGCATTATTGGTATTATTGCTTACCTTATGTCTCTATTTTACAGGAAACCTTTATTAGTAACTGTATTACTTTTACTACCAAATTAACAACCATTATTCAGATTTAAATTGCATTTTTGTGGCTTATTCGCTGTGCATTTTTCTTATGTTCCCATCGTTGCATAGCTTGGGTTATTTTTACAGTTTTTCTAGAATATGTACTCAATTAGCTTGGCTTCTATGTTTTCTCAAAGGGTGTGAGTGGTAAACTGAGTCTTTGCTTGTCTGAAAGTAGTATCTTCACTTGTCTTTACACTGTGTAAGCTATCCTGATGAGAAAGTTCCAGGTTGAAAATAACTTTTCTGGCTGGGCGCAGTGGCTCAAGCCTGTAATCCCAGAATTTTGGGAGGCCGAGGAGGGTTTATCACATGAGATCAGGAGTTTAAGACCAGCCTGACCAGTGTGATGAAACCCCATCTCTACTAAAAATACAAAAATTAGCCGGGCATGGTGTCTCATGCCTGTAATTCCAGCTACTCCGGAGGCTGAGGCAAGAGAATCACTTGAACCCAGGAAGTGGAGATTGCAGTGAGCTGAGATCACACCGTTGCTCTCCAGCCTGGGCAACAAAAGCAAAACTATGAAAAAGAAAGAAGAAAGGAAGAAAGAAGGAAAGAGAGAGAGAGAGAAGGAGAGAAGGAAAGAAGGAAGGAAGGAAGGGAGGAACTTTTCTGTAAACGTATATTATCATTTACCTTCTAAAATTCTTCAAGTGGTTAAGGCAAACATGATTTCCCTTTGTTGAAACAAGATTGCCCATCTCCCAAGCTATTGTTTCTTAATTGATCATTATTATTTTTCCTCTAACTGACCCACCATAGCAATAAGAAGTTTAAGCAATAGTTCATCAGGACATACATAGAGAATTCTTTTTTTCAGTATTGAGTACTTTTGTGACAACGAATTCCATGTATTACCCAAAAGTTTCAATTCCCAAAACTCTTTACTAATGACGCAGATAGTTTCTGAGTTTTATTTTTTATTTATTTATCTTTTTTTGAGACGGAGTTTCGCTCTTGTTACCCAGGCTGGAGTGCAATGGCGCGATCTCGGCTCACCACAACCTCCGCCTCCTGGGTTCAGGCAATTCTCCTGCCTCAGCCTCCTGAGTAGCTGGGATTACAGGCACACACCACCATGCCCAGCTAATGTTTTGTAATTTTAGTAGAGACGGGGTTTCACCATGTTGACCAGGATGGTCTCGATCTCTTGACCTCATGATCTACCCCCCTCGGCCTCCCAAAGTGCTGGGATTATAGGCGTGAGCCACCGCGCCCAGCCAGTTTCTGAGTTTTAACACATGCTGTGAATTTTCTCTCACTTATGCTAACATCTCTAACCTGCTAGGCAGTGAGGAGTTCCCTCATGTTTTTCTTAGAAAAGGGTACCCTGGGTCTTTATCCTTGTCAGTCACTTCTCCTTGCCCTTGGTTTTCAGTTTGCAGACCCACAGATGGTTGATATCCTCCGTAGGCTATTTTTAAAGACCCTCCCTACTGTCCTTTGAGATCTTACTAGAACTGTGTGGAATTCTCTGTCTGTCCACTTCCCATCTTACTAGCACATAGTCTTTCACACTTTTGGAATGTTTCTGTCTCCTTCACTTTAAACACTGAGTCCTAAACTGTGGTGAGAGATTCAAAATTGTCAGTTAGAAGCTAAAGTTCTCCAGATCAGAGGCACATGGAATATACCATGCCACTGCACCCAAGAATCTAACCTGGTGTTTGCAGATATTGATACTTGGTGACTTGCTTAGTCATTCTGCTGACTTCTCGCTGGACCTGCTCTTAAGGTTAGATTTTTCTGTGGTGCTAGATTCTGAAACCTCTCTCACCTCAGATTACCTTGTGATCTTTCTTCATGCTAAGTGCCAAGGAACCTACTTTCCCTCACGTGTTATCTCTAGTTGTGAGTCTAGCTGTCTCCTTTATCATAGGTCTCCAAAGTCAGCATCTTCACACACCTCTGATAGAAGTTACGTAAAGCTGTGGCTGTCTTAGAATAGGATGCATCAAGTCTGCATCTGTGTGTGAAGAGTGCGGACAGACGACACCCATTCTGGCCACGTGGTCACTCTGTGTGCCTCTATCTTGACCCCTTTTAGGTAGGAGGACACACCATGCTCCCCATTCGCTGGATGCCCCCTGAAAGCATCATGTACCGGAAGTTCACTACAGAGAGCGATGTGTGGAGCTTCGGGGTGATCCTTTGGGAGATCTTCACCTATGGAAAGCAGCCATGGTTCCAGCTCTCAAACACAGAGGTAAAAAGGGGGTGCACAGGAATGTTGGCTGGGGGAAGGCTGGTAAGCGCTATCTCAGGCCAGGTCTTGCACATACTGGACAAGACATTAGGTGGGATTTAGAGCCAGCAGAGTGAATGTAGGCATTAGTGGGAGCAGAGAGCTTCTTAGTAGGAAAAGAAAAAAAATGGAACTGAAGGAAATGTGGCATAATTGTCCAAAGAGCATGAAATTAGACATCTAAATTGAGACTCAAGTCGTGGCTGTGTTCAGTCTGCTACCCTTAAAAATCACAAATTTTTCACTATGACAGAAAATGAAAACAAAGAACAACTATGAGTTTTTCAATTGTGTCATCTTGTGGAAACACCCGCTACTTAGTATGCCCACATAATCTGTGTGTACAAAGGTTTTAGGTATGCCAAGCCACGGGCTGTACAGGATGGTGAATTTGGAAAGGCCAGTTTTATAACTGACAGGGCCGTGTGTGAATGTCTAGGAATAAAATAAACCATCATAGTAATAAATACTCATTATATTTTTAGAATTATAATTTGCAATCATAAAAATAATAATAAAAATTGCTAGTAAACATCTTTTAATAGTGGCTGGCATTTAGTAGCAGGCACTTTTCTAAGCATGTTAGCTCTATGAACTCAGTCATTTTTACAAAAACCCCTCTTGAGATTCAGGTTAAAGGAAGGGGGTCTGCTTGGGGTACTGAAGTGGACTGGTCAGCATCTCACATGTAACAGCCTCTGAGACAGAGACGAAGCCTGGCCTGTAATCCTAGGACTCCTCTGCCTCCAAAGCCGTCAAGATGCTTCCTGATGCATGGACCAGGCCATGTTGCTCCAGGGAATTCAGTACAGTTTGTAGGCAGTAAGGAGCCCAGTCTTTCGGCCCAGCCGACCTATGAAACGCCGTAGTCCTTTTTACGGTCTTCTGTTTGCTGGGAAAATGTAAATATGAGGCTTTCAGTATTGAAATCTTATTTGAATATTGAAGAGAGTGTCTTTTTTCTCGAGAGCTGTGTTTGTCTCTGCTCTCCTATGTCTTGACCACTGAATTAAGTGAATTTCAAAGACTGAAAAGAAAGTGTTTTGTAAAATGTGTAATATCTCATGATTCACAAGCTCAATGGGGCCTGACTAAATTTCCCAAAGTAGCACAAAATATTTTAACAATCTTTTAAAGTAATGCAAGTGTGTATGCTAGAACCCATTTGTTACGGTGTTTTAAAAAATTGTTACTGTTTTCCCAGGGGAGGAGAGGTTAGGAACACACACACACACACACACACACACACACACACTCTCTCGCATATGCACGTGCACATGCACGCACCTGAACACTGCTTCGTGTAGTTTGGTGGCCCCAGTATACAGAGGTTCTGGGCTGATGTTGCTATGGGTCTTAATAGAAGACTTAGCCCCTGTACTTGAGCTGGCTCATAGCAGCTAACAGGGTGTTTGCCGTTTCTTCTAAGACTGCCAGAGGAGGCGTTGGCCTTAAAGTCAGGCTTTCTGCCCTCAGCCACTTTCCCCACTCCACCGACCATAGCAGCCACATACTGGTAGTCACTGATCATAGGTTTGTCCATGGAAATCAACAGACCTGGACAGTCCAACATGAGGAGAGACGCTCCCGGGTGCCTTTGATCTTGGCATCAGCAGCTGCTACTGTAGTTTGAACTGAATCCCTTTTCCTGAGGGTGATGGAAGGTGGAATTGGGGCTCTAATGCGATGGGGTGTGTGAGTGGCTGGGTACTTATCAGGCTGGTAAAGGAAGGAGCCGAGGGGCCATCGCAGACTCCAGGGTGGATATAACCAGGCAGATGCTGACACGGTGATGGTTTCATGAGCCCTCCCAAAGTCACCGTGACATGAGACGACGCTGAAGACAAGGCACGGCTGAGCCCGCGTAGGGAGATGCAAAGGGGAAAAAACATGATGCTCTTGCCTCGTTAGATACAGAATAATGGGGGCAGAGAGGGGAAATCATATTTGTTTAGCTGCTGAGCTAGAGATTATTCTGTGTATTTTTATCATTATGGCCAATCTTGAAATGCAGAAATTGACGTTCAGGGTCAGCGACGTGACCAGTTATACAGTGGTAGAGTTAGGGAGAAGTTAAAACCAACCTGAAAACTAGACAATGAAACCTAGAAAATGCACATACTCTGTCAGTAAAGAAGCGTCTTTGAGGAATTGGGAATGAATTGCACAACACACACGTGGTTCTCAAGTGGCCTGCTGGGGTCGGCCAGCCACACATTGATTGTTTTCTTCCTATTCCTTCTTACGGCCGCTCTTTCAGTATGTTGGGCCATACAGTCCCTTTTCTTGGTCTCTTTTCATCCTTACAACACTCCTAGGAGGGGGTTAAGGCAGACATTTGATTCCATCTTACAGATGGGCATGTTGAGACCCTGAGGTTAACGGACTTGACCTGGTCACCCAGAAGGCAGTGGTGAATCAACAGCTAGTCCTAGTGTTAAGGACTTCAAGAGAAACTGGAAGCACGATTTAGTGCAAACAGCAGGGAAGGATGGACCTTGCTGCAAAAGGGTCCTATGTCATGACTCAGAGGCAAGTATGGTGACGTGCACAGAATCTGCAACTGGGAGCTTGCCAGGAATGAGAGGTAAGAGGAGATAGGCATGCAGGGGCCGGAGGCTGCCGAGCTTCTTCGGGGGGTCTCAGGAGAGAGGGAGGGACGGGTCAGAAGCCCATCTCCATTATCAAGTGAAAAATGAACGCAGCTCAGTCATCCAGACGAGATTCAGGACTAGAGAAGAGTGAGGTACAAGAGAAGAGAGTGTGGGGAGTCCTTGGTCAATGGGGGCCTGTCCCAAGGCATGGAGGACGAAGGGCAGCAGACGGCTCCACCAGCCAGTGCTGCTCCCGGCCCCGTGCGCCGGACAGACCAGTCAACCCGTGCCGTCTGCACCAGCCTTTAGCCTGTGACTCTGAGAGCCTGGGCTCTGCGTTGAAACCGATCAGGGAAGCTGTTGCTTTTTGTCAAGTCCGAGCCACAGGGCCACGGCTGGGCTTTGGGGGTAATTTCCTTGTTCTCCTCTCTCTTTCAGGTCATTGAGTGCATTACCCAAGGTCGTGTTTTGGAGCGGCCCCGAGTCTGCCCCAAAGAGGTGTATGACGTCATGCTGGGGTGCTGGCAGAGGGAACCCCAGCAGCGGCTGAACATCAAGGAGATCTACAAAATCCTCCATGCTCTGGGGAAGGCCACCCCGATCTACCTGGACATTCTCGGCTAGCGGTGGATGGTGGTCATGAATTCATACTCTGTTGCCTCCTCTCTCCCTGCCCCACTTCTCCTTTCCACAACTCCTTCCATCCTTGACTGAAGCAAACATCTTCATATAAACTCAAGTGCCTGCTACACATACAACACTGAAAAAAGGAAAAAAAAGAAAAAACCCTGTAAAGCAGTTTGGCATAATATATATATATATATATATTTATATATCTAACTATCTATCAATCTATATCTACAGAGAGATACCTTCTCTAGTACATGGAGAAGCTGCTGATACACAAAACCACAAGACTTTAACAACTCAGAGACTCTAAAATATTAATAATAAAAAGGAAAATTCCCTTCGACTTAAGCTGTGGCCCGTGCTTCTAATGCCACAGCTTTTCGGCACAGAAGACCTGGACCATGCAGAGAGACAATCTTTGGGATGGAGCTTTGGGACGGGAGGGGCTCAGGTGGTGCTCAGTTGCTGCTGTGTGTACCTGTTACCCCAGAAGCTCACCACAGGCGCCTGGGGGCACCGCATGGCTGCGCTCAGCAACGAAGCGATGCTGGAGCAGGGCCCTTGCCTCCACTTCTTCCCCATTTCCTCCACTTCAGGACAACGTTCTAACTTGTCCATTCTAAAGAGTGTCATCTTGATGCTTTTGGGACTCCACGATGGCACCTACGGGTAAACGCAGAACAGACAACCCCACAACTCAAAACCATGACGAGAGCTGACTGCATCCGTCCTGGGTGTAAGCTTCTTGCTGGAGTTGCAAAGGAAGTGTCTTTCTATTCTCAGACCTTAAAGAACTGGACTTTCTGGACTCAAAGAACCACAGAAGAAAAAATAGCTGAAACCTGAACCCTGCCAAGACACTGCCACCTGTCTTTTCCATCATTGCAAAGACTCCTTGGCCTCACCTTCCATTTTCAGGTCCCCGGGAAGCTGAGGGGGTTAGGAAACCGGGTCTCCCACGTTATCTTTGAATGTAGACACAGAGGGCTTTAGGGTTGCAATAGCAAGAGGCTTGGTTGCTTATAGGTCATTACAAAGAATGGCCGCTGGTCCTCAGTTTCTTATCCTGCTTGCCTAGATCCTAGACCCCACTTCCTGGGTAAACCCCACTGCCAGGGAAGGAAGGCAGGTCTAGTGAGAGGCTGGAGCAGCGAGTGTTTCAGGGAACCAAGCAGTGGAGGGGGTGAGAGCCAGCAGAGGAGAATCTACTTGGCACCTGCGCCGGGCTCCTTGGCATTCTCCTCACGTTTCCAGCCCCTGGGAGGATTGATGCATCTGCCTTTGAGCTGTTGTGAAAACGCAAGGGCTGAGAAATCACTTTTGTGGGCTGGGGTAGGGGGAAGAGCTGAGGCTTCTCTGGGAGATGTCCAATGAGCAGCCAGTGCTGCAGGCTTGGCATCTTAATGAGGACTGAGGCCTGACCCGAGAGAGGGAAGGAAACATCTGGGCTGGGGCCAGCTCCCTCTGCCCCAGCACCAGGGAATCACTGCCTTCCTGGCTGCCGCCACAGACCACAGTGGAGCTAACCTCTGGGCCTCCCTGTCACATGATGCATGGAAGCCAACAGCCTGGCCCCACAGAGCTCTTCTGCTGGGGAGGAGAGGATGTGCTCCTCCCAAGCCAGGCCCCTCCACCTCACCCCAAGCACAGAGCTACCTAATGGACTGACCTTTGCCAAACTGGAGCTCCCCCCGGCAGCCTCTGGCCTGCCCTTTTCCCTGCCAGCAGTCTGGACATCCTGGTTCGCTGAAGCAGCTGAAACGTGTGCCTCCCTGTGTGGGGTTTAGGACTGAATTATGTGTTTGTGGTTTTGCTTCTTTTTGTAGACCCACAAATATTTTTATTTGAATAGTAAAGAGCTGTGCTCAGATTGTAGCCATGGTTGGGATTTAGGATCAACAAGGCTGGTTAGCTGGACTGGGAGGGGAGGGAGGTGAATTGGGATTTTGCTGTGAGTTTTCTGGCTGTGCTATGCCCCCAGTCCCTGAGGACTTTGAGGAAAAGCTATTTGGATTGACCACCTCAAAGGAACCCTTTACTGTCTTATGACACTTACCCTTTTGTCTTTCCACCTAGAGGGCCGCTATGCTGGGGCTGTGAGTGCTGGTGAAACTGCACAAGCTGGCTTTGATCTAGGTAGCTAAGAACAGGTGTTCAGGGAGGGCATGGTCTAGAGGGGCCTCAGGGAAAAGTGTCTTCTGGTTAGAAGTGAGGTACCAATGCTCCTGTTGCTTCCATTCTCCCATATCCTCCCCTGAGCGGACACTGTGTGGCTTCTGTCTTCTCGGCTGTGTGTTTCAAACGTGATAGTCACTGATGGGTTGGGAAGAACCGGGAGAAGAACTGGGTTGGAGATGGGTGGAAGACTGGGAACAAGGACCGTGCTATGGTTTTATCTCCAGGCGCTGCAGCATGACGGCGTAATGAAAGAAGGTGATTCCTTTGGGAACAAGAAACAATGAAGGAGACTACGGTTGTCAGATCGCTGGCACCTCAGGCCCGCAGGCTTTCACGATGGTCTTGGGGTCATGCCCTTGCCATGTCAGTTGTAAGCAGCTGGCTGTGGAGCAGTGTGAGAGAGGGTGGCAGAGCAGGGCAGGATAGAGGGGGACCCGCCTTCCTGCAGCCTGGGCTGCCCTCTCTACACAGAGTCTACTTTGATTTATTAACCTTGACAGATTAAAAAAAAAAAATTGTTGTTTTTTTTTTTTTTGAGAGTAAAAAAGGCAGAAAATAGGGCTGTGGAATTTGCAGGGGTACACTATGGCCCTGGGGGGTGTGGCGTGTATTGGGACACATCTGTCCCTCCTATACTGGGACAAGACTGATAAGGTTCAGTCCACCATGTCTTAGTTTCCCCATCTGCAGAATAAGGGGTACGCCTGCTAATCTCTGGCCCCTTCAGGCTCTGAATTCTTAGGTTCTAACAATGTTGCGTCACTGTGCCATTTTTCTTAGCAGCACTCTGGAATGCCAGGACAGCCTTGCATAGGTGAGAGGCAGTCGCTGCTGAGGGCTCACTGGCCTGGGCAAGGCTGAGTTTCAATAAGACACTCCTCTCCTTCTTTGCCCCTTGCCTCCACATTTCAGAGCCTGAAGTGTCTGAGACGACTCTAAGCCGGGAGGGGAGTGTTTGCTCGGCTTCCCACCCTGGCATTCCTGCATACCAGAAAAGCACTGTTGACGGTCTATTTATTTATTTATTTATTTATTAAGAGCCTAATGTGATTAAATGTGTCATGAAATGACATCTGATTAGCCAATATGGCCACTCCAATTCACTTCACCCTCATCTCCCCATATCCACATTTTAGAAGACCATGTCACACTGTCTCCGAGAGCTTAGCTTTGAAGTGAGCTCTTTCATGTCTTTTGGCGAATGCTCCAGGGCACCCAGGCTGGTCTCTCTGCCATGCCAACCTCCCCTGGACCGACTGAGTGTAACCTGCTTTTGGATGTCTACCCTGGAGTAGGGTGTCGTGGTCAAGGGACCTCCCAGTTCTTCTTTGCTTTGGATGGGAACCTAATGCTGCCCTCTAATGACATCCCTGAACTCTGAGGGGACCATGGGCATCGCTAAGCCTCCTCTAGTCAACAAATAAGAAAGAGGAGGTGGTGCTTCCTCCACTCAGCAGATCATGCACAAATTATCCCTAGACAGAGGCTTTCCACTTGAGGCAAAGGGTCTTCAGTCCTTCTGGGTTCAGGTTGAACATGAACGGCCTTCTCTAGTGATGCTTACTTTGCGGAATACACTAGTGCAAGTCATTTTGGTGCTACATACTGCAGAAACCAACACCAACAGGAGAGCTGTCAGCCCGTTTCTGTGGCTGCACAAGGCTCACCTCAGAAGCAGACGTGAGTTGGCCATGTGGGAGAGCACAGGATCATGGGAAGTTAAGTAGAAATGTGGCAGGGTGAAAAGACCAGCAAAATTTCTGATTTTGTTATTAGTTAGTTACCATGTGGCCTTGACCAAATCAGCTAATTTCTCATCTGAGACATTTAAGAGGTTTTTACAGATACTTTTAGAGTCCTTTTCATTTTTTTAAAAAGCTGTGTTCTGGTCCCACCTGTTTTTTCTTTCTTTCTTTCTTTTCTTTTTTTTCAAATGCTCGCTTGTTAAAAATAAGAGATAAAGTAAAAGATAAGGGAGGAGACCAAGAAAAGTTACCAATGGCAATGGCAAGAGATTGAATTTAGAAGGCAAGTCAAGAAGCCCGGTGACTGGTAGATTTGAGGAATATTGTGCAGGGAACCAGGCAGACAAGCCAGAGACTTCATTTTTATGCTCTTCAAAGGAGGCCTAGCCCCTTGCCTGCTTTCACCAGGCTGTTCTCAGCTAGCCAACCTTCCCTCTTCCAAACTTGGAAAATTCCAAGTTTACGCATCGTTATAAAGACATCGATATGGGCTTGGGAAAATGTTTTGGTGTTGCTTCCATGCTCACACTTGGCATACACTATTCCAAAATATGGAGACAGGCCTGCCCATCTCTCATGCAGGCTTCTGGCAATCTGGACTCTGGGTCAAAAGCGACAAGATTTTTATCTTTGGTAAGAGGATGGGATGTTAGAAAGAGGGCAGCGTCTTAAGTTGAGGACTATTCGCCAAAGTCTTTTTCTATTCAGGAATCACTAATGGCATTCTTTGTTCCCCTTTTCCAAACCAAACAGCAGCACTATTACCTTGACTCCAAAGTCCAGTCATTGTAATGGACAGTCTTGAGGTTAAGGTTCTTGTCAGCGCTTTGCTTAGAATCTGGAGCAAAGAACTGTCTAGGGGTTTTTGTTGAAAGGACCTACCTGCCAGCAGTCCACAGAGCTGTCCTCAAAGGCCCCTGAGATGTCTGTTGTCTCCTTTGGTAGGGAACCAGCTTGCTAGAAGGCCCAAGGGCATTTGCCTTAGAGAGAAAAAAAAAATGGCACCCTTGGTTCAGGACATGGGTGCTGAAGTCACTGTGTTTTTGGTTCCTGAAGGTCCACTTTCTTTTTTCATACCAAATACATTGTTTTGACCAATATTTAACAGGTTTTTAAAGATAAATTCCAAGTTTATGCATCGTTATTAAGACATTGATATGGGCTTGGGAAAATATTTCGGTGTTGGTTAATAATACCGGGAGTGTCTTGCTGAAGAAAGTATATATATATATGTATGTTTTATGGTTATTTCTATATATTTGATTGGAATGGCTTAAAAGAAGGCCTATGTGAAGTCAGAAAATTGATTTCAATTTGGGATTCTCTTTGAGCCTTGCCATTCTTGGGGATAAGAAATCCGGAGATGAACTGGCCTCAGAAACATTCAGCAAGATTCCGATGGGAAATCTGTCGTCTTGTGAAGTTTGACCATTTGGTGCTCTCTGAATTAAATTATGCCGACTAACATTCTGAACATCTGAAAATCGTTCTTCCTTGTTGCCTGATAGATGACCATACAGGAACCATTTCTATCACGTCTTATTTGGGGGTTCGTATTGAAGTCACCACCACTGCAGGGGAAACCACCCCCCTAAGAGGGATGGGACAGAGAATGTGAGGTTCACATTCAGTTGCTCTTTCTGAAAGGCACTGATGACTGTAGTAGGTGGGGTGAATATTTGTGTCACTGCATTGGATGTTAGAACTTTTGCTCTGAGCACAGACTGCTTTGCCCTAAAGAGCTGAATCTTGGCTTCTGATAGAGGCTCTTCCTGGTGCATTCCCCTCAAGCATATTTTCCTTATTTCCCTGTAAAAATATCTACAGTTTGCAACAAGAAATGTTTTTGGCCTGTGTCTCAGTGTATTAGAACAGATGCTCTTCTCTGAGACCTGTGGAGGTGAGGTTGGGAGGAGGTGGTCCTTCAAAGTATTTTGAATTCTTGATCAAAGAAATAAAACTCAGATTCCCTGTCTTCTAGCTTACTTCTAAGTTCCAAATTTAAAGCAAGACCTGGTTTGACATTTGCAGTCGGAGATAATGTCTTGAATCGGTGAGGTAGGCTATCTTTCTTGCATCATAGGGAGGAAGGACAGTAAGTTGTATTAATTTTTCCTAATCACCCAGGGAAATATTGCTTTTTGTGCAATGTCATGACTGACATTTATAGCTTACAGGAAATACTTCCAGCTGACAGAGCTGGAAGTTTCTCATAGATGTTTCAAGATAACAGAGGTGAGGAAGGGCCTGTTGAACATCTACTTTTGAGAATCACTGAGGCACTCAGGTCTTGCTTTTCAGTTTAGTATCTTATGAAAGGAGTTGGTTTCTTCTCATTTTAGGCAATGAGAAATTTAGACATCTTTGCTGAAAAGCCAAAGGTAGATTGAGAGCCCAAATATTTACTGTTTACTCTGACATTCTTTTATTTTATTTTCCAAGCCTTTTATATATATATATATATATATATATATATATATTTATATTTATTTATTTCCATAGGTTGTTGGGGAACAGATGGTGTTTGATTACATGAGTAAGTTCTTCAGTGGTGATTTGTGACATCTTGGTGCACCCATCGCTCAAGCAGTTTACACTGTACTGCATTTGTAGTCTTTTATCCCTCACTCCCTCCCCACCCTTTCCCCCTGAGTCCCCAAAGTCCATCGTGTCATTCTTATGCCTTTGCATCCGCGTAGCTTAGCTCCCACATATCAGTGAAAACATACGATATTTGGCTTTCCATTTCTGAATTACTTCACTTAGAATAATAGTCTCCAATCTCATCCAGGTCACTGAGAATGCCATTAATTCATTCCTTTTTATGGCTGAGTAGTATTGCATCATATATATATATATATATGTCTTTAAATAATAATACATACATATGTATATACCACAGTTTCTTTATCTGCTCATTGATTGATGGGCGTTTGGGTTGATTCCACTTTTTGCAATTACAAATTGTGCTGCTATAAACATAAGTGTGCAAGTATCTTTTATGTACAATGACTTCTTTTCTTCTTGGTAGATACCCAGTAATACGACTGCTGGATCACTGACGTTCTTTTAGATGTGGCATCCCTAAAACCCAACAAGAAATGTAAACATTGAAGTCCGAGTCTGATAATTATTCTTTCATTTAAGAAGAGCGCATGGGAGTTTTACATATTATTTTTAAAAACTAATTTTGTAGTATGTTAAATGGTAGGACACATTCAATTTTTTTTTTCCTCACTGGAGATCTGTCCATGTTCCATCTTGATTTAATAGCTCCCCGGCATATAACTGATGCCTCTGAGCCTACCTCTGAAGTAAATAAATAAACCTGGTCCAAGTGATTTTATTTCTGCCATTCATAGTGGAGAAATCAATCTCAGTGAAGAAGACTTTTTTTTTTTTTTTTCATTTTTCTTCTTTTTTCTTTTTCCTTTGGCTCCTATCCGCCTGCTTCCATGGGACTGAGAATCCACCTTCTCAAACACCATGAAAGTCTTAATACAAGGTGAATCCCAGAACCACAAACAGTTTGGACTTCAAACAGTGAGAAAATTGGCACTATATGATTCAGCACACAAAGCAGAAAACTTTCATTTCCTGTAGGCAGGACGGAATTGACTGTTACATTAAGACTTCTGAAGAAGCCCTGCCCTGGAGTAATTTCAGTGCTGTCAGATGATGTTGACAACTAGATTAACCTCTGTGCAGTGAATTTCGCCGCAAAGCTCATTGAGATGCATGTGATGTGTCTGTACAGATCCCATCTGGAACCCTTGGTAGCCCACCCTCAGCAACCCTCTTCTCCCTCCCTGACCCTGTTTTCTCTGTCCATAAACTTTTAGCCTCCAGGAGCAGAGGAGCCATGGCTGGGATCTGACCTTAGGAGCGGGAGTTTTGGCTTCTCTCTGACCATGGTGCTGAGCCAGGTTTTCTGCTCAGAGTGACAGTGATTATCATCATACTGGGTTTCCCCTGAGGGAACTACAAATTAAGGCATGAAAACCACTGTGCTGATGACAGTTTTACAGCATATCTCAATGCTGCACAAAGTGAAATGGTTTAAAAGGAATTAGTGTGTCCTAAGTCATTGAGCCCTGCTCTGGGCTCTGCAATCCTCGAGGGATTCAAGGTCCAGCTGAAACAAGGTCATGACTGCGTCTAGGCGGGACAGATGCATTCTGACAGACAAGGTGTTTGTCTTTTGTGTGGGTGTTTCCTATGGTCCTTACAAGAGAGGCAGCCGCAGCTCCAGTTTCTTCCAGTTGGGACAGAAGATGTAGCTATCTTCTAAGCGCTGGTTTGTCAGCTCTCTCTTTAAGGGATGGCTGGCTCCAGAACAAGCCAAACTCACTCTACAATTCCACATTGTGGCACAGCAACCACAGAGAACCTCAAAGCTGAAATTGCAACTTCTCTGCAAAATAGGGCCATTGATTTCATCAAAAATTTTGAGGAAAGGCCTTTAGCTTAGATTCCACCACCTTCAGACTCCACAGAGTTGCTCAGCATGATAGCATGCATCTTTGGAAACTTACCTCAGGGTTTTAGAATACTTGACCCTAATGTCTAGATAACAATTTTCTCTGAGATTTTACTAATTCTAATTCCCTCTTAAATTGTTTTCCCTACTTGCCTCTTGTCTTTAAGTAATAAGAATCTCCTTGCACATTCTTAGGTATTTCTTTAGGAGAATTGGAAGTTTCCAGCCGAGGAGATTTTGCTTGTGGATTGGAAAGAGGGGTTTCTGGGCTGAAAAAGGTATAAATCCTACAGAGACAATCTTGATGACTTTATTTAAAAGCAGTTATCAGCGTTGTGTTTTATTCTAGGTGCTCATGTTCATAATGAAAGCTACATTCACCTTTTTCATTATTTATATTATGATTCTTATTCATGTGTACATATATGCACACACACACACAAAGGCCTCCACAATCCTACCTGTATACACGTTCATATGCCCCATTTGTGTCACTTCCATTAATCTCTGGGTGCATGCATTTGCAATGAAGTGTGTAGCTCCTCTTTCCTCTTATTATCAACACATGCCCACATACCCTTTGACTTTCTGCATTTTGGATCCCATGAGATTAGGGCTTTTTCAAGGGAGATTAAATCTTGAGTTTCTTTAAATCTTCATACTTCAAGGCAGGATTGGTTTTCATGGAGAAACAAAAACTAAACCGAGCCTTGATTCAGATTTTATTTAATTAACTTTCTGTGGAATTTGTTCTTCAGTAATAAATACTAAGTGCAAATGTAATGGACAAGGGGTTCAAGCAGATTATTGAACCTATCTCGTAGCTGAGACAAGTGGTCAGATACGAAGCTCAGACGCTGACATTGAACTAGAACATGAAGCAAAACAGTTAGCATGGAGCGCGAGAAGAGCACTGGGCTGGGAATGAGACTGCTAGATTGTTACTTGAGTGTCCTTAGCTTAATGTGGGCAGCTGATGTTAGTTGCAGGCCTGTGCCCCTCTAATCCCAGTGATGGGGCATGACAGTCTGTCTCTCCTCCATTGTTCAAGTTAGTTATCACTGAAGTGTTACATATTAGCTCAAGGTCCTGCCCTGAACAAGCCTGCAAACATCCCCACTCTGAAGGGTCAGTCCCATTTTTGTTTTACGGCAGTTTATCTCCTGTGGCCCTCCTCTGGAAGCTGTCCAAGCTCTGAGCACTTGCTGTCCCTCCCCTGTTTCCCACCCCACACTTCAAGGCCGGGGAAAAGCCAGGGAAGGTCCTATTGGCTCGTCTCCCTCTTTCCTAGCCTGCATATCCACCAAGCTTGGGATTTAGCCTCTGTTTTTAGAGAGGAAAACAAGTGTGTTCTCCTAGCCATCAGTATCTTTCCAGCTCCATGGACCAAGTGATTAGCGCCTCATCAGTTGCTTTTGCACAAGAGACTCTGGGACAACAAGCCTTTTTACAGCAGGTTTTCTTTTAATTTCCTCTGTTGTTTTCTGGCTGTTAACTATACGGATAAATGGTAAAACATAATTTTCATTTTTTTAGGCCCCATGAGTGTGGGTATGCTATATTTCTATGGATGAGGAGTTCCACATGTCAGCAAAGCATTTATTTATTTAGTGAAGTGGCTATAATATTGACACACAGATTTGCAGCAGTGTCCAAATCTTGGGGGGAGAAAAGAGCCTTTTTGAAGCAAATGAAACCACCTTCTGTGATGGCACCAGAAAGGTTTATACCTGAAGAGCAGAAATGAACCTGATAATATGCTTCCTTTCTAGAAAAAAAGAGGTAGAAGAAATCGCTGAAGGAGCTGGATGACCAAACCCTCTATTCCCCAAATCATTATGTATCAATAGATACTTCAACCCTGTCCCTTAAATGGCTCTGAAAAACACAAATAACCATATTCGTTATTAGAAACAAATTCATAATGTCTAACCCAATCCCTTATTTTAATCTATATACATATTAAATAATCCCATATATATGATTATTATATGGGATATATATTTACATATATATGTATATGTTTGTGTATATATATATTTACATATATATAAAAATATATTTTTTAATGCTCAGGATAGTTCCATATTGTTTCGTTTCTTGGTTCCTTCTAATAAATTCAATGAGATTCATAATTTTTTCACTTTTATTTAGGAAAGAGTTGGGGTCTGTTTTGAATGCTTTCTAGGATAAAACAGCAGAACGGATCGAAAGTGTGGTGGAGGAAGGATAATGGGAATAGGAGGCAGAGAACTTGCACATTCCTATTTCCTGCTGAGAGATCTTGGAAAAACATGGTCTTCCCTTTGCCTCAGTTTCTTAATATACAAAACGGAACCACTGTCAACCCCCTGTGTGCCACAGAGGGTTATCTGAGCACCAAATGAGATCATAACTGTTGACATGCTCTGTGAGCTGTACAAGGCCAGACAAACAGAGCCCACTCTCTGGGCAGTGCACGTGACATGCGGTCTTGTTGGGCACTGAGCTGAGAGACTGAGAGCCGCTCTTGAGACGTGCCATGTTTTAAGGCGTATCTTCCTTACATTGTTGTTGGTGTCTGGTTTTTAGATGTTTTGCCATTAGCATTTTTCACTTTGAGTATGTAGTGACAGAGAATGCTTTAAAAAATACAAGTAGACGGGGCAGGGGGGGGGATGCTTTACTTATTTAGGTTCATCATTGGAAAGGGACAGTTAGATTTTGTTTTCAGGCTTGGAACCCTGAACATTTTGTAGCAAAATGGCATCGCCTGCTGCATTTAATTCCTTGCCAGCCACTCTTGCTTTCCTAAGATTCTGTCAATTTCAACATAATGTTTTGTAAAATAAGAGTCTATGAAGCTTCCTCTATAAATTTGGTGGTATAACTAATCTTTCAGGACGCCTCTGAAGGGATAATGATTTTTAAGTGGTATCCTATTCTTTCCAGGACCAGCATTTGTACATGGGGAAATAAGACAGGTGAAGAGCAATGCTAGACCCCTCCTTTAATAGGTTTGAGTGCCAGTAAATAGGTGTAAGTGGGATTCCCACTGAGAAATGTGTTTGAGTGAAAATGAAACCCTTGGTAATGAATCCTGAGGCCAGAATGTCAACTTCACAGTATTCTGTCATCTATAGCCCCTAAAAAAATCCCAGGTATTTGTGATGACAGCCACTGATACAAGCACTCTGTAGTTGTGAATACATGGCAAGTTAAATTTTCTCAAATGTTATTTTTCATAGATCTCCAGGTGACAATCATGTGCATTGTATCTGACAAAATTCTGTGAATGATTTTCTAGAAGTATTTTGATCGCTCCAGAAAGAAATCAGCATAAAGCTGCATACCTAAAATCCTAAGAAATTCATAAGTATTTTTCTCAAGTTCAGGCTGCCTCAGGTTCTCTTTTCTCTCTTTACCTTTTACCTCACAGAGAGGCAATCTTGATGGCAAAATGTTGGGCTGAATTTTTGTTTGTCTTATGTAGAAAAGCAACACTTCTGTTCTGGACCACTCTCCAGTAGACAAAAAACATCCCAGCTTTCGAAATGAGAGTCCAAATTGGGTTACCACTGGGATTTTAAATTATGATGTGAAATTGGAGAAGGCAAGCTGCTTCAGAGTGAAGTTTCATAATTTATTCCGATAATCTGGAGGGGATGATCTCCTTCACAGCACTGTTAAAGCCTGCCTTGAACAAGCTCATTTCACTACATAACTTCCTAGAGACAAGACTGATTATTTAAGGATTTCAGAGGTATCATTTGGGGAATAACTCACCAGATAGAGAAAGTTTGATCTAATATGTTAACAGGCACAAAATCTAATATTTCAATGCTTTCTCACCCTGCCCCTTCTCTGAGAGTTTAGCCTTTCTTAGGGGCCATTAGGATATGTCCTTTCCCAAGCTAGAAATGATTGATTGTATTTCATGTCCCAAAGTAAAGTCTCCCCCAAGTGCGTTGGACGTGAAGGCAACCAAAAAGACCCATGTTATTTTTCTGTCACTTCACAGCATGGAGGACCTTCTTGTTTATGTGTGTGGGCTATGGTGGGTTAGCTTAAGGGAACTGTCAAATTAAAATGAAAAGAAAGCAAGTTGGGGCAAGAAAACTCTCACTCTGAATGTGAAAGAAAATAGCAGTGTTCTTTTCTGTGGCAAAGATTTGTGTACTGTTGGGGGAAGATTCATGTTATTTCTCAGGTAGATTTTACCTTCTGAGATTCTGCGCGCGCGCACGCACACGCGTGTGTGTGTGTGTGTGTGTGTGTGTGTGTGTGTGTGTGTGTGTTGGCTGGTGGGGGGGGTTGGAGCCATATAAAATGTAGTTGTTTATGAGTTTATACTTTCTCTTTAGCATAATAAATGCCCTGCTTATTTTCTCAGAATGTGACCATAAAATTTGGAATTGAGAGGAATTCAGAGGCCCGTGTCACAGTTCATGGTAAAGTTTTGCCCAAATATTTCCTTCAGAAACATTTAGTCATAGCAATCCAAATCAATTCTTATCTGCAACTGGCATCAGAAAAAGAAATCAGTAGGTGGGGGCTGTAGACCCTGATGCTGCATCTATTTACAATCTTTCTTTTCCAAGGTTTTAGGGTTCATGATTCACATAAGGAAATTTTGGGGGAGCTACCACATCTGGCATGCATTATTAACTCTGTTCCATGGGAAAACTAGGATTGCTTCTGGGCTAATTTTGTTGGAAATGGCACACGTACAAAAAGAGACTTTTGGAACATGTTTTAAGCCTTTCACCTGAGGTCAGCCTCTGCTGAAAGAGTGTTTAGTTTGGTAGGCATGGTTTCTTGCTTCTCCTATCCCAGGGTGTAAATTCTGCAGTGATTCCTGGGTATATGTTTTCAGCACCAGGGACAGCAAACAACCCCCGAATTGAAGGGCCGTGCTCTCCTGATTGACCTCCCAGACCCAGGAAGGGTAATATCGTTTTGTTTTCCTTTATTCCCTGTCCACTGGGGCCTCAGCTCAGAAGTCTTCATTCTTTAGGTGCTTACATCTTTAATTTATTACCAAGCCCAGCTTAGCTGTCTCTGTCACATTCTTGACCTCCTAACAAGTGGGTTTGGAGTAAGACTCCCAGGTCTGCTGGCTCAGAGAAGCAGAAGGACACTAGACTTCATTTGAAGGCCATGCTTTAGAATAGGCTCCCCCTACAGAAGTCTTTCTAGCATACCAATGACTTGTAAACCCCTAAATGAAAGACTGCTTATACACAATCACTTTCCTTTTAAAATTTCTGCACATTTCTCACAATGTACAAGTCTATGTTTGACTCGGTGTGCATCTGGAGGCAATATTTCACAGCAGTTGAGCAGAAGCTATGAACTTTGGGGATGGAAAAGGGCCCAATGATGCTGCTGTTATGCGTTTTGGACACTCAGTGGGGGCACTGCTTTGATTCTCGGCATCCACCCTTCAACCCTGAGTGCTCTTCAACAGCTGTTTTTGCCTTAAACAATCACAGTAAGAATGCAAATGACTCCTTGTGGCGTTCTTCAGGCCTGACTGAAGGGTGCCCTGAGAAAACAAGGGGAGCAGAAGCACATGTTGTCACATTGCTTTGTTATTGGCCAGTTTTCATATAGCACAATGACAGACAAATGTCATCCTAGAGTCAGCACTGTCTGCTCTTAACTAATTGTCAGTATCTTCTCCACTCGTGTCAGGATGAATCCCCGGTTGGTAAGGCAAGTCAGTCACTGCAGGTCTCATCTTAAGTACTGCCTTCTATCTCACGGATGTTAGAACAACTCCATTTCGACTGCCTCTGTACCATCCAAGACTCTGAATTCCCTCCATATCTCCTCCCTTTCTTGCTGCTCCCTTTCCGTGTTGCTTATCGTAACATCCATTACATGTAGTGGTGTAAGACAATAAGGGGTTTCTTTTAGGAATAAATGAGGTGAAAAAAGTAGGCCAGAGCCAGATCTTAGAGGAGCAATTTCAGTGAAACTATAATTTCTAACTTGGGAGTGGGTCTAAGGTGTAGCCATCCATTCCTTCCATTCCTTGTCCTCCTGAGTGAATCCCATTCCAGTGCTCACGCTTGCCCTGCCAAAAAGGCCATGGCACAAGATTCTCTAGATCATTTGAATGAAGACCGGAGGTGAGCAGCATCCAACACCTCTGTAAGAGTTCTTTAGAATAGAGGAGATTTGACTTATGTTTAAATCCAGGAATGCTCCTATGTTTAAAATGTTTAGAAATAATATGTACAGAAAGGACCTATGGCGATAGGAAAACTTAATACAAATTATTTTCCCCTAGAACAGAGAAGAAGGAGCTGCAAAGTGACTGCTAATGAAGCAATGATCTGCTGGCTGGGGGAAATGTGGCCCGAGACTAGAGATGCAGAGCCAGCATCTCTAGAAGGAGAGATGCTCTCAATAGAAGAAGCCCCCGGAAGGGACCTGGTCAGACAATACAATTTTATAAAGGTTCTCAGTACTTTTTCTGAAAAAATTCCTAAAATTTTCAAGGGCACTTCTAGCCCTCTGCCTCTTTAGAGGTGAGCTCAGTGCTACGTCTGGGTTCTTAAGGCAAATGCCCTACAAACACCAAAGTCTCGTATTTTCCACTCTCAGCCGGCACTGGCTAAGTGGGATATTTTTTCCCTTCCCTAAGTGAAAGGGACTTGTTTTCAGGAGAAGTGTCCTTTAAACATCCAGCTAAAACTGGAAGTAATTTTTTGCATGAATGGCTTTTTACAGCTAGGTCTAAAGCAGAACAAAACTTGTATTAAACTAAGTGCTACTTTACATATCTTATTTCAAGGGAAATGAAGGATTTATTGCCGTGTAAATGATATACACTGATTTGCTTCCTACTGGACATTACATGTCCCTTTATCTTTAGGCTGATGTTGTGCAGCAAACTTTCAATCTCTGGAAAATCAGCTGGTACCTACTTCAGTGCATTACTAGGATATTACGTTCCCTGAGAGGAATTTTCCCAATGAAGTTTAGGTACCATTGTAACTGATTTCCATCCCCCCTCCCTAAGCTTCTGTACTAAGTATATGTAAAGTTACTATATCTTGTCTGACCCCATGTGCTTGTGTGTGTTTCCCAATGTTTATATAAATATATTGGTGATCGGAAGGGTTAGCTGGATTACAGCAACTGCTGAACATGGTGCGTGTGGCATGTGGCACACCTCATGCCTGTGCACACCCGTTCTGAGGCCAAGCTAATTTTACAGGTTTTGAAAACAAAAAAACAGCAGCAACAATAACAACAACTGTGTGGCTTGAATTGAGGAAAGTTTGACGATGGATACAGTATTGCCAAGTCATCATTTATGGGTGGAGACCTTGACCACAGCAGAGCTGAGGTGTGTTCAACTGGATCTTATGTCCTTTATTTTAATCCCAATTGATCGTTCCTCATTTGTATTTTATGACTTAGAAATACACCTACGTGATGCTTGTTTTTCTCCCAGGCCTCTGGAAAGTGCTGATCATGATTGCTTCCCATCATTTGGATCCCAAAGTTGATAACTTAGCATGAGTGACTGAGGCTTTAGTAGAACTGTGTTTTACTAACTGTATCTCCTCCTTGAGGTGCTGTTCCCTTCATTCTTTACCTTTATGACAGGTGAATGCATTGAATGCATTGGCTATGATAATTTTATTTGCATCCTGGCAAGTTTTAGAGGATCAATCTAATTAAAATGATGACTGCATTTGCCTTTGAAGAAGAGGTTTATTGTCTAAGTGAAACTCTATGTGAAGGTGTCCTTTATGCAAAAAAAAAAAAAAAAATCCAACTTGATAAGATGGCCACAGGTTAGAGGGGTGTGTTCTCAGTTGATATTAAGGGATATGTTGAAAAGGCAAGTGCCCACCCTTTCTCTATTCTTCATGCCCTCCCTTCCTTCCTCCCCAACCTCAAAAGAAAACAGAAAATTATTTTTTTAAACTGTATTAATAATTTATGTTTAATACAAAAGGCTGATTTAATGGTATCACCAAAGGTCGTTTCTCCCATTGTGCATGTCCTTCAGTCTCAGCCCCATACCCATCACCCCATTCTTCACCCTCATGCTTCCATCCCAAGGCAAACACGTGTCTTCATCGGAATCTATGGGTGTTGAAATTAAATGTGGGGGCAGAGATTTAACACCATGACACTAATACAAATCAACCATTCTTCACTTTCAAATGGTTAATTGCTACAGGAAGGAGAACTCTTTCCTCGGTTTTTGTTTAAAAGCATTTTATACATATATATGTATATATGTGTGTGTATGTATGGACATATGTATGTATATGCACATGTACATGTATATATGTATATATCCATCTTCAATATAAATATATCATATGTGAGAGTTGTAAATACTCCTTGGTCATATGTCTGTCTTTCTCATAGTACCACATCTTCAATGTTATCTTAACAACTCCATTTATTGATTGATGAAATTGTGTGTAGAACTGTATCCTCCTGACTTAGTTTATGTAGGGTCTCTTCTCAAATAAAGTATAAAACAACAATGCCCTTGTTTTATCTGGATTCATTATGTGGTAGGAAAGCATGTCGAATTTAAAGATAGTTTGAAAGTTTGGGAAAGTCCTAATGTGTGCAAAGGTCATGAGATCCAGGATTATCTCGAGAGCTTGAACCTTGCTTTTCTGAAAGTAAAAGTGGATTGCACAATTGTTAAGATAGCCGATAAGTTACACATTGGATGGAAATGAGTGTCGTGAGGGGAACATACATGCAATTATCATTTGAGACTGGGTCCCAAGGAAAAGATTGAATATCTCCAGCTCTGTGTCTTGGTGATATCCTGTTACTCCAGATACATTGATATTCAACTTCTCAGTTACAATCATTTGAGTAAGTTCTCAAAGTGGGATAAAATGTGTTCTATTGAATATCCATTTACCCCAAAGGTTTGATTATCCTTTAGCATAATTAATTTAAAACTCCTCCCTCTCTTCTCTTTTCATTCTAGTTTCCCTCTCTGTCTACATATTTTCTGCTGTATGTCATATAATGTGTTTTCTCTAATAATATTTCACTGCTAATTTTCATTAACTTTTTTTCAGAAACGTTGATGGGTTCTGGGAGAAAGTGTGAGAGACAGGAGGCACGGTTTGCAATTCCATGAACAAGAGTTCAATGGAGATGTAGAAAGGCTTAAACAGAGCTTTTCCATTATGGCACTATTGACGTATCAGACTAAATAATTCTTTGTCGTGGGGGGGCTTTTCTGTGCATTGCACGATATTCCTCAGCATTTTTATTAGTGCATTAGCAGTCCTTCCTGCCTCCTCCACCCCCACCCCACTACTGTATGAAGACCAAAAATGCCTCCAGACATTGCCAGATGCTTCCGGGGGGGTAAAATTGCTGTCCTTGAGAAACACTGGCTTAAGCTTTGACATCTTGCCACACAGTATTAAAAGAAGAATCAAATTCAGAAAATATGAGAGGCCCCAGTCATGCTCCAGGCCTTTCTAGACTAGCAGCTTGGCTATCCCACGTGGTAAACTCGCTGCTTTTCTTTAAGCACATTTCTCTTCAAAGCCTGCAAAGCCCGTCGCTGAGAATCAAGTTACAATATTACATTTGGGGTTTAGCTAGCGCTAGAAATACCTTCTGCATCTCCATAGATGAAAAATGTTTTCATCCCTAAATATTGGTTCATAACCCTTAAAAATGTGTAATTTGTGTGTGATTAAATCCTTTGGATCTGTGTGAGAAGAAACCCAAACACTCTTTTTATTTGTTTTTTATCGTTTTTTTTTTGTAATTTTGTTATTTATTTATTTATTTATTTAATTTTATTATTTTTTCCCAAACACTCTTTTTAAAGATGATGTCCCTGTGAAAGATGCGGGCAGACCTAAGGGAGAGAAATCTTTGTGCTTCAATCATTCCAACATATTTTCCACCTGGCCCACATGGTTACATACATTATAAGCTTATAAGTAGACTTTTTGTAGGCCTAGGATATAGGTCTCCAGTATATAAATTCCTTTCGTTGAGATAATAGAACTTGCATTAAGTTGGTCAGCAAAAGTGAACGTTCTTTGTACAATTCTATAAACACAGTACACATTTAATGGACATTTGCTGCAATGGGCTGGATTTCTCATTCTCTAAGCTCCAGATTACTTGTACAACATTCAAAGTGCTGTCATTATGCCACCTCTTCAACTCACTCATGGAAGCCCTCAGGATCTAAAATCCTGAACAACCTGACAGCATGTTCATTATGAAGGAAATATCTCTTCTCCCCAGAATGTGGCTACCTTTGCACTAGTGGCTTCCTATGACAGCCAGCTAGAGCAGAATTAGGCTGCTTGAAGGCAAAACAGGTGTTTCTCAAGGTAGGAGTTTGAATGGCCTCTGACATCTAGGCCTAAGGCTTGACCTTTACATAGTGTGCTCCAGTGATGGCTTGAGAACAAAGTGCTGTGAGAGACCTCTGGTCCACCCCACAGAGCCTCAAACTCAGCCTTCTGCAGGAAGCCCTTCCTACACGACACAAAGGAGGCTGTGGAGGCCTGCAACTTCACCTTAGATTGTCCTTATGCCCTTGTGACTCATTATTTGACATTTAATTTGAGGTGACAATCCAAGGACTGGATCACATTGTGTCCTCCTGTGTCTGGAAAGTCCTTGATTGCCTATCTCATTCAACTACCTGCCTGTGGCTAGGATTCTCAGATCAATAAGAACTGGGAGAAAGTCCCAAATAAAAGCATCTCCCAGTGCTGGAGAGCATGGCTGGTAAAATGATCTTATAAAGATCACCTGGTCCCAAAACATCAGCATCTCAGTGGTGACACAAAAAATATATGGCTTAAAGAGGGTACTTTAGAAATAGCAGCTCGCCATTGCTGGGAGTGAATCTGGAGGCTGTTCATGATGATACTGAGAGCAGAAATGCCAAGAAGGTATTCACTTGACACAGGAAAGAGGTGCAAATGAATCTGAAAGTTGATGTCTGAGGTAGGGGTCACTCTTTTTAAAAAAGTTAATAATTAAGTTTGATTAAAATTTATTTTTTAAGAAACAGCGTCTCCACCCTATTGCCCAGGCTGGAATACAGTGGCACCATCATAATTCACGGCAGCCTCAAACTCCCGGGCTCAAGTGATCCTAATCTCCTGCCTGCCTCAGCCTCCTGGGTAGCTAGAACCACAGGTGCATGCCATCACATCTGGCTAATATCACTTTTTTTTTTAACTTTTTGTAGGGATGAAGTCTCACTATGTTGCCCAGGCTGGCCTCAAACTCCTGGCCTCAAGCTATCTTCCTGCCTTTGCCTCTCAAAATTCTAGAATTACAGGAATGGTAGGTAACTCCTGGTAAGGACCTTGGGTAGATATAGAAGTAAGTTCCCCCAAACACTGCTCAATCTTCTCAGGACACATTTCCTTAGTATTTCAAGGCACGGTGGGCTCCTTGCACAGGGCCATGCCCTGTTCTTTGCTCTTGTTGGGATGCTCAAAATTACTTAGCTATTAACTAGGGAGATGTTCTATTTTAACCTCTCTTTTCCCCTATCATGAATGTTCTGAATTATTCAAATCTCCAATTCAGGGCTCAGCAGAGGATCTAATTACTGCCCTGCTTGCCAATTGCTGATGAGCTTCAAGAGCCAAAGAATGACTTTAAAACAGTTAAATATTGAGAGGCAGCTTCTTTAGAAAATTCCGTAGGAGTCTCAGTCTTATTAAGAAAAGCTGGATGGCATGGTCTGAGAGAGTTTGCTGGATAAGGCCATCTTCTGACTACACATAATTGCCAGATACTCAAGGCTCAGGAGAGAGTCCTGCCTTGAATTAAATAAGCTGATCTCTATGAGTGTCCTGGTCACAGTCCTTTTCTCATCAGAATCTTGAAAACATTCACCACCCCTCTTGTCACTCAAGAGGGATGGTCTTAGCTGGCAAATGCTGATGTATAATGGAAAGAGGTGGTGGAAGGAAGAAGGTGCAGAAGCTTCTGTCTAACGCAAGAGTGGAGGGTTTTAAGCTGAGGAAAACAGAGCAGAGATGCAGTTTGAAAGACATGTCTCTTTTTAGATAATCATTCGTCTATCTGCTCGTTCATTCACTGATTTATCCATTAATTCATTTGTGTAATCAATCAGTTTAGGAGTGCTTTTAAGGTAGATGTGGCACAACATGGGGGAGCCTGAAGATGTAAAAGGCTTTAAGGCTCCCCTCTCTCCACCATCTCCATCCCTGCCTCATTCTGGGAACCCCACACTGAACAGAAGACAAAGGAGTAGGGTGCTAAAGGCAAGCATATAAGACGCAAAAGGAGGGGAAGTATTTTTGTCCATGACTTGGGTGTTGGCTAAGAGAAGAGTGTTGGATGAAGAGGCTGCCCTGGGCTTCTCCCAGAACAGAGCCAAGTTCTTACCCACTGTGACCTTGGGCTGTGTGTGGCAAGTGCTAGGGCTTTGAGACAACACCTAATCAGCGTTCTGTGAGCGTCTTTGCCTTCTGCAGAATTTCACTCTAGGTGGGAAGCCAGAACTCTCCTCCCAAGCCCCATGCATGTACTGACTTAGAAAGCAGGAAAATGTCTCAATCATGGTGTGCCACCCTTAAGTCACTGCTCCAGGGACACACCGGCCCTGCTCATTTTCCACCTCTGTGAGATGCAACAAGCCAGTGTGCTCTGCTACAGAAAGCAAAGCCCTGCTGGCAGAGGTATGCTCAATAGGGCTGATCCTAAATGTGATTTATGGAGTTAGCTCATTTCCTGCCTCTGATGCTGGCCCCAGCTGCCAGGAGTTTGACTGACAATTTCTGTTTATTTATTTCTCACTATATAATATCTGGCTTTACATTATAAATTCTTTTGGTTGGAATTTCATGGCGTCTGTTCCAGTATTTATTGATGGGCTGCTCCTCGGGAACTCGGTCCTTTTTTTGGGATGAGCTGGACTCTGAGCTCTTGGTTGTGCCTGTGAGGGTTAGGCTAGGGCCCTGTCACCCCTAGAGATATTTTACTATTGTAAAAATCCTCTTGTGTCTCTTGATAGACAGTCCTCTTTACGTTAGAGATATGGTCACCTATGATGGATAACTTGTGACTCAGAACCAGTGGAAGTAATCGGCAAAGAGTAACTCAGTGGTGTGTGTGCCTGACCATCTAGAAGAGGTCTGGAGGGGTAGAGTGTGACATGCCGGTTTTTGCCTGGATGATGGCTACCATGTCCTTTCCCTTATTCCTTCCTTCTAGTCCACAGATAAAGCAAAATGATCACTTAGCCAAAGGTTGGACAAAAGACCCCGGGAGAGTTCTGAATGTGTTTTTTCTCACCCTATGAATGTGGGGTCTTTCATCTAGAAATGATTGACCATAAAATGTTTTCGAGAAGAATCATGAGTTTTTCAAACATGGGCTGCATATTGCTCATAAAAATTTTACATTTTCTCTAGAGAAATGAGGCCATCATATTGTTCGTGAGTTTATTTCCAGTGCCATCAACCACTGTTAAGACCCCCTCTGTCACCCTCAG